GGACAGAGCAGGAGCACTTTTAAGCTGTGAGCCCTTTTTTGAGCCCAGTTCTTGGGGTTTTGGTTTCTAAGCAGATGCAGAGATGAAGGGAGAGATCACCACTCCARCTCTCGGGGTTGATGCCAGTCACATCCTCCTTCTCCATGCTCCAGCTCCCGAGCTCCCTGGGGAAGGGGAGAAGTTTCAAGCCTCTTTCTTTAGTGCCTTCTAAAAATACAGAGGYGGCGATAAGCAGGCAGCAGTTAAAGGAACACGGCTGATATCCTCACASAACCAGTGATCAATGGTTGCCTTCACTCCTCACTCATCCCAGCCGGGGCTGGGGGTGAGCATCCCCAGCTCCAAGGACCTGCAAGGGTCAAAACCTGAACCAACTCAGCTGCAGCCATTCCTCTGAGCCGTGGTGATAAATAAGCAGTGCCAGATCACGATAATCAATTAATTAAGCATYACGAGAAACAAGGAAATGGAATTTGCTTTATTGTAAACTGTCTGGAAGGGAAAATGGCTGTAAATATGTTTATGAGGCTCAGTGCTGCACATCTCTGCTGTCATTTCTCAGAGATCTTTTAGCAATCCCACACCTGGGGCCCCTTTCTGCCTCTTGTGAAATATTACAGYCTCTGAAGAGATCGCCTTGTTTGCCAGCGTGGAAAAACCACAGTAACAGGACATAAAAGGAATTTACATCTCATTTTAATTATTGTTAAATGCCCACTTGACACTTGCACGGGAGCGGGAGATGGAAAGGCTGGAAGGGAGTGAAACAATGCTGGAACAGAGAGATGGTGGTGGCTGGGGATGAGATCCCCCTTTATTGGGGGGTGTGATGTGATGAGATCCCCTGGATGTGATTCCCCCTCCCATCCCAGGAGACACAGGGACACACAGGACAGGCTGGCAGTGCCACATGCTGGACCTCTCTGCGCTGTCAGCCCCAGCTCTGCCTCATCCCAAGCTTTTCCCTGCCCTCAGCCTCTTTCCACTGCTGAAAAACCCAAGGCAGGGCACTTGAACTACCCCAGTTCCTTCAGAATAAATTCAATTCCAGCCCAGTGACAGCAAAGCCACCACAGATTTGCACCAACACCAAAGAATGGAATTTCCCAAGCCCAGCATGTACAAATTAGTGGAGTTTTGGTGATTTTGGTGGAGCTGATCTAGGTTTATTCAGCTGTCAGCAGGAGCAGCAGGGCCAATGGTGGAACCAGTGCAGCTCTTTGAGGCTGGTGTAGCTCATTAAGCCAAATCCTAAATCAGGAATGGTCCAACTTTCCACTCTCTCTCATCCCATCCCTCCCTAGATGTCCTTTCATCCGAAGGACACAAAAATGCACTGCAAAGCAACAAAAGTAAGGGGTGAGGGGGAAAGGGAGTGTGAATTTARTGCCATCCCCAGAGTATTGGAGAAACACCTCCCCAGGTAACATTTTGATAGTCTAAAGCCACAAACGCCTTGATTTTAAATCCTCTGGATAAAATACGGTAATTTATCAATAAAACTTTCAGCACAACTGCTAAAATATAGCAGTTATACTACATATGTAGTAAAATAAATATATATATATATAGTGTATAGACACAGTATAATGTCCTAAATAATGAGGTTGATAAAAGCCAAGCGAGCTCTGAAATTATGGCAGACAACACAAACTTCTCCACTTACCCCATAATTCAAAYGCTGGTGATCTTTTGCTAAAGTGCACTGCTGAATGCTGCAATGATGGAGCTGTAATTGTAATGGAGTCATTTAATTTGGATTTGGATGAAACAGCCGAGYGCGGAGCAGACAAGGCATAAAACTCCCGTGCTCACATAAAGGTTAGGAAGCTGATCATTAAGGGAATTGATTTGGAGTGCTGAGGTAATCCTGTGGTTGGAGTCAGAAAGCCACTTTTTATCTAATTTACACTGAAACATCTGCAAACACCACCGGTTACAGGYCACCAGTGAATTTTGAGCTGGGGCATCACGCAGGTCACTGTTTGTGTTTTCTTTGCCCAGTGTTGTGGCTCATCTGCTGCTGGGATTTCACTTCGGGTACATCACTGAAAACACCTGAAAACACCGGGAGTGAACAGGAATTGCTGCTACCCCACTGCCAGCACCTCTCTCCTCCTCGAGAGGAGGGATAAAAGCAGCTGGGCTGCTCTAGACACGCACGGAAAGGCAACAGAGATCCTTTCCTTGTGAAAGGAGCGCAGTGGCTGCCGTGGGAATGCTCATCCAAGGCTGCACAAACAAACCCAGACGTTGTATTTATTCCCTGCTCCGCCTGAGCAGCTGCCACAGCCACAGCCGGGCACCTCGAGCAGCCCGACGGGCACAAAGCAGATCTGTGACTCGGGAACTTTGTCACGCTCAGCCCGGCGAGCGCGATGTGCCCCGGAGCCTTCCCGAGCCCTGCGCTCGCCCCCGAGAAGGAGCTCTGACAAGTTGAGTGGCCACAGCGTGCTGTGTGTGTGATGGAGAGCAGGGCTGGCCCGGACAGACAGCTCCTGGCCGCGGGACAGGCGGCAGGGAAGTGCGGGACGGGAGCTGAGCTTTGATCAGACGCGTTCTGACTCGGGGAGCTCAGCACAGCCCCTCCTCTGAAGCAGCAGGCAGCGTCTGAGAGATCAGCCACACAGCCACGGGGCTGTGCTAACAAAGTCTCTYTCCTCAGCTTCCTCTGTTTGATCCCGAATACAGTGAATGAATTCCAGAACCAAACACAGCTCTGCTAAARTGTTGTTTATCACAGAACAGTCTGAGCTGGAAGGCATCACAAGGATTATTGAATCCAGCCCGTRAGTGAACAGCCAATAAAGGGATCAAATCCCCAATCCTGGGGTTATGACTGAGCTGATGTTCCTCTTCCACTGACCCTCGACAGGGTGTCACCAGTGAGGTTTGYTCAGATCACAGCCAGAGGCCTTTGCAGAGCTGTCAATGCACCCAGCCYGAACCCCAGATCCCAGATTTCAATGGAAAGGAGAGCACGGGATCAATCCAGCCATCACCACCTCCTGTCCCTGCAGCTCTGGCACTCTGAACGACACCCACAACATCAGGCTGAGCTGTTTGTATCTGAAACCTTCAAACGCTGCCCTTGAGCATCACTGAACTCGATCTGCCTTCATTTCCCCCTCCCAAATGCAGCGTRTGAGGGCAAATGAACACTTGGTTCATTTTAGAATCTCTGAAGGATTTATTAGAGCTGTGCTGTAAATCACTCTACGACTCTTCCCAAGCAAAATGTTTCCACATTTTGTTTCCACATCTTTTTATGAACAACCACAATGTGATTTCATAAAAACTCTTCCCAGAAGTAACCCAGGAGCTCAAGAAAGGGCCAGCACAGGGCAAGTGATGAATTTGTTGTTGAAAGAAGTTCAGCTCACAAGGAGACAATTTCTGAGCTGCTTTTTCCTATCAGGATCATATTAACAAAATATAGCTCTTGGCAAGCCACATCCTCCAGGAATTATTTCTGTGCAGGAAGCACTTAGTTTCACTCAAAATTAATAATGTCTAAAAGGCATCAATTACATTATATTCGAGAACAAACAGAAAGTGATGTGAATTACCCAGCAGAGTGGGATGAATTGGAGATGAAGTCATGGAGCAGAGCAGAGCAAARCCTTCCTGGTTCCTCTCCATCTCAACACCACAACCAAAATTTGGGGGTTTGCAATCTCCAAGGCACGAAATTGCAGAGTAACAACCAAAAGCTTACACTGTTGCTGTCCTATCATTAGGAACAAGAAAAAAGGAATTCCTACAAATCTTTCTTCTGGTCTCAGGATTACCAAGGACTCATTTCCAGCCTGGAAGTTGTGCCCTTGCCCGGGGCACTGATTTAAAGCCGRGGCAGGGAACACACAGGGGTCGGCAGGGAAGAACTGTTCAAAGCTGTGCGAGATGAATGCGCTGTCAGAGGAACGCTCCGCATGGAACAGGCTCCCAGCAGAACCACTTTAGCTTATTATGGAAAAATTAAAGCGCAAACAGCTGGAGAACAGCCTCGTCACGCCAGATCCCAGCTCTCCATACGCTGCCTACAAATTGCTGCTCGGAAAGTCGATTCTCCAGCTCGATAGGTTTGTGCCTCGGGAACGCTCCGAGCGGAGCCCACCAGCCACGAGAACACCTCTGGGAAGGGTTTGGGTCACTCAAACAGGGATTTGCCGCAAACCACCACGTTTTAGGTGAAAATCCCACAGTTTATGGAGCTCTCCCCGCACATTAAAGCTTTTATCGACAGACCCCATGCTGTTATGGATCACAACAGGTCTCCAGGGCATGTGGAGCAGGGCTGGGAGAGTGGGAGCCCTTCAGTTGGGTAATTGTTCTCCTTCTCCCCCAGGAATATTCAGAGGGGGATCGGGGATGTGTTCCGGGCACGGTGCAGCCTTGAGGAGATAGTTCTGCTTCTCCGTGCCTCAGTTTCCCCATCTTTGCGAGGAGAAACCMGCTAGAGCGGCTGGAGTACATCCCTTAAAACCCGGCTCCCGCAGATTTCCAGCTTCCACGAGCTTCCCCAGCTGCAAGCGAGCACACGAGCAGCACCGCTGCGTTTCAGAGACGCGACAGAAGAGCAGGACGAGCCTGCCGTGCCCAGAGCCACCCCGGCAGCTCGGTCCCTGCCGGGCCATCAGCGGGCACCGCTGTTCCCACCGCAAACTTTCCGCCCGGGCTCCGCGCAAGGCTGGTCCCGCACGCTGTCGCCGGCGCGATGCGAGCCCGGAGCGGCTCCACTCCGCCGAGGGCTGCGGGTTCCCAGCGCCGCGTCCCGGACAGCGGCACCGGGGGTTCCGGTCCCACCGGCTGATGGGGATGGAGCCCGGGAGGGATGAGGCTGGACGGGGCGCACGGGAACAAGACCCAGGCAGGCAAGGAAGGAGCGGGAGGACACGGACAGGCACCGGAGAGGCAGAGCGGGACGGGGCGCGCAGCGGAGCCCGGRACAAGGCGGGATGGAGGAAACATTCACCGGAGCCCTTGCGGAGCCGCCTTACCTTGACCGCCTCGGCGTGGGTCACTCTGTCCAGGGACTTGCCGTTGACCCCCAGGATCTGATCGCCGACGCGCAGCCCCTCCCGCTCGGCCAGGGAGCCCGGTTCCACCAGCGACACGTAGATGCCCACGCCGTGCTCGGCSCCGCCGCGGATGCTGAAGCCCAGACCCTCGTGGGCTTTGCTCCGGCGCAGCGTCACCTGCCGCAGCTCGCCCGGSACCACCGGCGGCGGGGCGGGGGGCGGCGGGGGGCGGCCGGGCGGCGGCAGGTAGGGTCCCTCGGCCGTGTACTGGTCGAAGAGGAGCTGGTCGGAGCGCGGCAGGACGAGGCGCAGCAGCGGCAGCAGCTGCCGGCGGCGGGGCCCGTCGAGCAGGGCGCGCAGGGAGCGCACCAGGTCGCAGACGTTGCGGCGGCCGTGGTAGGCGTTGAGGCAGAGGATGAAGCGCTCCCGCTCCGCCTCGCTCAGCAGCGCCGTGAGCGCCTGGTGCAGCCGCCGCACGTTCGCCGAGAGCGGCCGCGGAGCCGGCCCCGGCGCTGAGCCCAGCGAGCCCGACGAGGAGGAGGAGGAGTGCACGGACACGCCGTCCAGCTCCGCGCTCATCGCCGCGGCACCGGCACCGCGCCGGGGGACGGAGCGCTCGGAGCGCGCCGCGCCGGGCAGGAGCGGAGCCGGGCAGGAGCGGAGCCGGGCCGGGCAGGAGCGCAGTCCCCCCGGGCAGCACCGATGCCGGCCGACCCCGCCGCCCCTGCACCTGTCCGTGCGCTCGCCGGCGGCTCCCCAGGAAGTGACGCGGCCGCGGTTGCCGGGAGACGGGTTATACAGAGCGGCCCCGGCGGCGGGACCGGACCCCCCCGCCCCGCCCCAGCGCCCGCCCCCGCGGGACCCGCAATTAGCGCGCCCGCTCATCAGCGCTCATCAGCGGCGCGCCTGCCCCGGSCCGAGCCCTGCCCGCGCCTCAGCGMAGGTGGGAGCTGCGCAGGGTGGAAAGTCCTGCCGTTCTTCCTCAGCCCTCCCGGGCTGGACCGCTCTTCCCCAGCGCGTCCATCCCGCGGTACAGCTTGCTCAGCTTCCCGCCAGCCCAGCATGGCGAGGACGCTGGGGATGGAGGACACGCGGCAGAGGACACTCGGGAGGGATCGGTTTACACTGAGAACAGCCTGCCCCGGCACACGGAGCCGTTACCTGACCCGCGGGGCTGTTTTTCCATTGCCCGGCSTGCCAGGTGTGGGATTGTTGTTACCTCACGGTGCTGCTCACTAGAACTGCTGAGTTACGGTGCTGGGGATGCACCCGTTCAGCCCAGCATCTCAGCACAGGCTTTGTTTTAATCACACCTAAACGAAATGCAGGCACATTTGTTATTGACAGGATGCTGAAGGATTTATGATTGGGGGGACAGTTTTTAAAAAGGAGTGATTTCAATTGGATCTTGGGAATAAATTGTTCCTAAGAACTGAGTGAGGGTGGGCAGGCCCTGGCACAGGGTGCCCAGAGAAGCTGTGGCTGCCCCTGGATCCCTGGCAGTGCCCAAGGCCAGGCTGGACATTGGGGTTGGGAGCAGTGGAAGGTGTCCTTGCCGTGGCAGGGGTGTGATGGGATGATCTGTAAGGTCCCTTCCGACCCAAACCATTCCATGATGTTGGGCTTGGAGTTCACCCCGAACTCACAACAATTTAACCTGTCCTTGTTTAGCAAACCCAGGCAGCACAGAGAAGCCCTTTCTGTGCGGGATCCTGGTGATCCAGATGCTGTCAGGGCAAACCTGGATGGGTGGGATTCAGGGGAGCATATTCCCACCTGGGGTGCTGCTGCACATCTAACCACCCTCTCCTCTGCCTCCACACCCATAACTTGTGACCTCAGACCCAAAGGAGAAGCATCAGGATCAGGAGTCGGTGCAGAAATCCAGGGACTTGGATTTCTGGTTGCTGGATGAATTATTTCTCACTWCGTGAGGTTTCAGTTTCTTTTATGTGTCTGGTGCGCTGAGCAAAGACCATTTTCCATCTCAGTCATTTGAAATCTTTCTGTCTTTGTTGAAGTGCCTTCCATCTGCTACAGTAGAGGAGGATTAAACCTAATTCATCAGATGCATCTTGATAGCAGTGGAATTCATTTTGTTCATGGATATGATGGAAGAGCTTAAACAGCTGCATTACAAGTAGCTTTATGTATTAAAGCTTTGTTGGCGCTCTCAATGCCTTGTTTAAAACAAAACTAAACAAAGCAGATTGCTAATTGAAATTCGCGTTCGAACTGCGGGTGATAAATAAGCAGATGGAACAGTTCAACATTACTGGAAAGGAAAGGGACAATATAGGACAGAGAAGCGAGTGAAAACAAAAATACGCCTACCTCAGCCAAACAAAGTGARAGAAGGGCAAACAAGGTATTGCAAGTCTCGGGATTGCACTCAAACACGATGTTAGTGCTCAGTACCCGCTCAGACTCCTCTATTTAAAGCACTGCTGTTCCCACCAGTGCAGTGTCTGAGCTTCTCCAGCCTTTTTTAATCCTACACCAAGACTCCAAATGTGTGAACRGGAGCAGATGCAGTGGGAGCTGCCCCTGCTCTGCACTAGCTCCAGGCTGGAGCAGCACATCCATAGCTTCCCTCTCCAGCAGGGCATGRCAGTGCCCAGAGCAGAGCCCCTGTGGGTGCTGGATGACCAAAGCTGCCCAGTGGTGCCACTTGGTCCCTGATCTTTTGACCACTACTCCACAAACTGTCACAAAGCTGGTTTCCCAATCCCAGGATAACTCCAATCCAATGCTGCCTGGCAGAAACACACARAGCATGCACAGGAGTAGCTGCATTTGGGAATAATTCTAATTTCTTRTTGCCASAGCAGAGAYTGCTCAKCCTTGGGGACAGCTCTSAGCCTTCCCTTTGSAGGTGATGCCRTTTCAGTTCCTCCTCAGAGGARTTTTACATTAAGATTGTTCACACAYTGCAAGTTGAATCTTAACCATACTCTGCAGACAGGGGTCCCACTGCTTTTCCTTTAGAGAAGAAAGGGATTGAACTCTTCGCATGGAAACTCAGGTCTGCAGTGAATCTGAGGGATTTCTGGGAGCTTCATCCTTTCTATCTCTGTAAACACTAAAGATTGTGGCAGGAGGTTTGAACAGGATGATCTTTAAAGACCTCCTGACCCAAACCATTGGTGGTGGAGTCTCCATTCCTGGAGGTGTCCAAGGAAAGCCTGGACATGGCACTCAGTGCTCTGGTGTGGGTGACAAGGGGGAGATCAAAGGGTGAACTGGATGGCATTGGGGTCTTTTCCAACMTCAGTGATTCTGTGATGATTTGGAAAGGACCTTTGCCAGGGGTGAGTTGGCAGCAAGTGCTCAGATACAAACAGTATCCCCTGGACACATCCTCTGGAGGCAGGAATAGTGACCACAGAGAGTCCACAATAATTCCTGGACAACTCCTGCCTRAACTGGAGTTTTGTTAACTGGGAGGACCCGACCAACACGGGCAGTGGAACCTCAGCACCCGCTCAYAGTGGAGAGCTCCAGAGCAGCTGGGCATTGCTCAATTCCTAAACAGCCTTTCAGCTCCAAGCCCTGCCTTGCACAGAGCGCCTCAAGGCCAGCAGGAGCCCAAAAGGTGTTGTGCATGTGAGTTTTTTAAATCATCCTTGCGGCACGAAATAATCCGACGCGTTTGCTAAGTGCCACCTGAATAAATTGCCTAACCTTTCCGCTTTAATCCGCTGTAATCACTTTCCAGAGGCGCTCTTTGAAAAGTGAGCTCCGTGTTTCCAGAGCAGCTGYGCTCCTAATTAAAAGGCACTGTAGCAAGAAGCCAACAAAACCTAATTCTGCTTGGAAATGCCTTGCTGCAGTTGGAGGACTGAGGTGAACTGTGAGGAGGGCCGGGGAGGAAGCAGCAGCTGCCTGTGCTGCTTAAGAGAGCATTAGGAGAGGGCTGGCACTCCGGGCTGCCTCTTGGCTAAATCCCTGTTTAGCAGATTGGCTCCCAATCCTCTGTCCCTGGCTGGGCTGGTTTGCACAGCTTGGACATGTGCAGGAATCGGCTGAGCGCTGCAGCTGAGTGCTCACAGAAGGAGCYGGAGCAGAGGGAAAAGCATCCTGAGGGATTTCCAGCAGAATTCCTGAGTGTCTTAGGTTCCAGCACCATTCCTCCTGCAGCAAAGCTAAATCCAGCACAGTTCAGGCACAAAGTTCAGGGAGCAGGCTCATGCTGCATCTCTTCAGCAGCAGATAGAGCAGRCAGAATTTGATTTGAAGGAAAGCTGTAGGAGCAGTGAGAAATCATCATTTCAAGGAGATTTTTTAAGCTCTGCGTTACGAGCATAAACCCCTCGCAACAGGAATGTTTCCAACGAGTGGAGGGTGCTGTGCTTAATCAGAACAAGTTCAGTTTGACACCTCCCAGCTGGGGCAGATCATGRAGAGCAGGGTCCAAGCAGGCAGAGGGGGTAGGAAATTCTGACTCTCCTTAAATCCTTCAATACCTGCATATCTACAAATCTCCTACTGCTCAGTGCCACCCTCAGACTGCACCTGAGCACAGCCAGCCCCAAATAGCTTCATTTGAGTAGGGATTTGGTGGTTTCCATTGGCCAAGGGAAGATCAAAGATGAGAATTTTATCTCCAAATCACTGAGACATTGTTTCCACGGGTGGAAAGCACAGGATTAGAGTTTATCATTTAGGCAGTCTGGATTAAAAACCTAATCAAATCAARCAGACAACAATAGTTTCACCTGTATTCCCAGCAATATTTTGATTTCAAGCCCCAGGAATGCTGTGACACTTATTAAAACTCTAAGTCAAAGCAGCTCACATTAAAACAAACCCACATTTGCTCCATTTTCTGATGAAAAAGCCTTTGCAAGGAGCAGAAGTTTCTCCCCGATTTGCCTGCAGTGATCTCTCCACTGTGCCAACACCACTGAGTGTAACCCTGCATCGCAGAGCCAGATGATTTAAGAGCTGCAATCCTCCTCCCCTCTCCAGCAATTTCTTGCACTTATGCACTCTCCAGTCCTGCTTGAAATGCCTGAAAGAAAAAGCCACTTGCGTCATCAGCTTCTTTTTTTTCTTTTAATGCCCAGCACAAATCATGGCTAAGTCACGATGTGGGCCTGGGTGTCACGGACAGGCAGAGCTGACACTGGCACAGGATCAGGGCAGTGCCTGCTCTCRGATTTGGGCACCTTGGCTGTTCAATTTGATGTTTAAGGACACAGAGCCTGTTCCTGAGGCTGTCCTTGGGTGGGAGAGGTGAAGTTTAGTGAACCTGCTCAGTGGAAGGTGTCCCTGCCCTTGGCTGGGGTTGGAGCTGGATGAGYTTTAAGGTCCCTTCCAGCCCAAACCAGCCTGGGATTMCATGATTCTATGGCCACTGTATGATTTTATGATTGTGGAGCTGTGCCACAGGGAGCGCAGGCAGAAGGAAGCAGCCTTAGGGGTGAAAATAACTTACTCCACAGGACTGGGTTTATTCACACTGTGGAAATTGTCAGACAGCTCCAGTATGCCCACCCAGCTGAGCTCAATGGCAAAAACCTGACTGGATTTGGGAATTTGCATGATGGAAGGGGAAAGTCAGACTCTTCATCCTC